GAGATATTGGTCTATAGTTCTTTGTCAAGGTCAAATCCTTGATCTTTTTTATAACCTAAAAATACTTTTTTTTAATCTTTCCTTTATCTGCCCTTGTGTCATCTTATCAGCAGCTAAGAATACTTGTATATCATTTTCAAAATGTATTACCGTACTTCATGAAGTTACGGATGCAGATGTTGATCTTATTTTCCATAATCTGACTGTTGACTTTCTCTGATTACTTTTGAAGTCCAGGAAAACTAATGCTAGATTATCCTGAATATTCAGTTGAGTTTACTTGCTTTCTTCTTTCAAGCTTTCTTCTTTCAAGATTAGGAGTTATTAGCACATAACTGCTAAAAGAAGGTTCAGTTTCCCTCTGTCACCAACATAATTTTTGCTCTTGATAAATTAAAGGCAACTACTACTAGTTAAATTTTGTTCTGGTCCTCTAAATCTTCAAGGTGAATATCAGATCATGTATGCTGCAAATGTTTTCCTATAGAAATTGTTGGTCACCAGAGTGATGGAGCCTTTAGGAAAGGATTGACTCTTTTTGGGGTGAAAAGGCAGGCTCCTAAAGAAACCTTCCCCTCCCCTTTCCCCTCTCTAGGTAACAAGCTTTATACATTCTCAAAGGTGACAACGGCAATACAGATTCCATCCATAGAAACCCCAGTTTCAGCCCTACTGTCTTGTGGTGGTGTCTAAGAAGTGGGACTGGGAGTAGGAGTAATAGATGAACTGAAGGAGCCCTGTGGCATCAATATTAGTGGCATCTCAATCCAAATGCAACTGTCAGCTCAATTATGGCTTGGTTCTCTGTTTTTGGGGGACTGCTCTTACTCCCAGAGGTCCCAATGGATGAAAGATACTTTAAAGGGGACTAGTGAGGGCTTCTGAGATAATGGCCTATTTTCAGTGGACTACGACTAGTTCTTTGCAGGGTTATCACTTCAAACATTCCAGTTTGCTAAGAACAATGACACAAGCACTGGTATTTATTGTATGCCGCCCAGAGTCACATTCTGTAAGATGGGTGGCTATATAAGTGTGATATATAAATAAATGATTATAGAAAATTGCTTCCATTCTGTTGGGACAGTAATCTTTGTTTTAATACTTTTTATATAGAATTCATAATGTTTTCTTCCTGCAGCCTTTCTGCTTTCACTCATTGTTTAATTTCTTTTCTTTCAAGATAATTTTTTCCCCACATTTCATTCTTGAAACTACCAAATAATAGACTGTCCGTTGTCCAGCATTCACTAAGCATACAGGGTGACATTACTTTTGCTGTCATAATATTTAACATTAACCTAGATGGAAGATGCTTTTCATGATAGTCTTAACTTCAGTCAGGATAATAGGACTGTGGACGTTGTCACTAAGGGGTGTGGGTTTTTCATAAAGATAATAGTGGAATGAGCCCTTGTTTCTTTTCTAAGGGGAACACAATCCTTCATAATCACAAGACACTGGCTGTCCAATATCCACCCATACCCGTTGCATGCCAGAGAGCATGGCTTGCACATGAAGAATTTATCTAAGCAGATATTAGAATGTTTGCTGTTCCAGACAGTTAATCTTTAATGAACCAGGTTCATTTCAAGAAAAAACGGTTCCTTACTCCACTGCTAGCTATTAGGTTAGGGAACACATCACACTGGCCCACTCCACAAGTAGCAGGCAGATCTCAAGGATATTGGGATCCACTCAGGAAAGCAACATTAGCTTGGGCCAGTTTTCCATAATCATCAAGCAGTAGCAGAAAGTATAATTTTCATTGCCATGTACGCTGTCAGAGTGTGCTGCATGTTGACCATGCCTATCTTAGAGGATAGTACCATAGTACATTTTCCTGTCAGCACCATTTTTTTGAATTGTAAGCCGCCCAGAGTCACCCTCTGGGGGAGATGGGCGGCATATAAATTTAATAATAAAATAAAATAAATAAATAAATAAATAAAATTGCTATGATGACCGACAACTCTTTACCAGATGTGGGGCTTGATAGTCCTGCTAAAGAAGAGAAATTAGCCTCAGCTTATGGTTTAGACAGGCTGTGTATCTGTTTTACTTTTTATATATTGTCCTTAGAGTACTGGGTTGAATCTGTGGGTAATAGATAATAAATAATGTAGTCTATGTGGCTGAAATCAATTCTTATGACTGAGAAGTTTCTTTCCTAAGGGGATAAAAAATCCTTTTTGGGCCTGTGTTCTCACATGAAGAATACAGGTAGTCCTTGACTTACCACCACAATTGGGACTGGAACTTCCATCACTAAGCGATGTGGTCATTAAGTGAGTTGTGCCTGATTTTGCGACCTTTTTTTGCTGCCGTCATTAAGTAAATCACTGTGATCATTAAGTGAATCACACAGTCATTAAGTGAATCCTGCTTCCCCCATTGACTTTGCTTGTCAGAAGTCCCCTGGGAAGGTCACAAATGGTGATCACATGACTCTGGGGTGCTGCAACCGTTGTAAATGTATGCCGGTTGCCAAGCACCCAAATTTTGATCATGTGACTGCAGAGAAGCTGCAATGGTCGTAAGCTCGAGGTCTGGTTGTAAGTCACTTTTTTCAGTGCCATCTTAAGTTCAGATGGTCATTATATGAATGATCGTAAGTTGAGGACTACCTATAGTTAACCAAAGTGAAGTGAATTATGTATGCAATCTTACAAGGGGTGGAGAAATATTTAATTTGCCTGCACCTGTTGCAAGGAAGATTGGGAGTTACTTCTTTAAATATTATTTTTTCTATATTTTTTCTTTTCTCTTAGTTTTTCTTATTCCTTTCCTTTTTTTTTTTGCACTTTGTATTTTATTTTCTTTCTATTTTGTTTTCTCTTTCTGATTTCAGTTTATATTATCTTTTAGTATTGTTAAACTCTTAAATAAAAGGATTTAAAAAAAAGAATAGTTAACTGTTTTCTATAAGATCTATCATCTGGTGACCAGAAAGATACTTCACAGTACTGTAAGTCTACCATTCAGTCTTTTGAGTATGAAGTTTTAATGCATTGGAATAGAATCATAGTGGTCTAGATTTGGAGAGTTAACACATATGCTGTCTTGCACTGTGGTCTGATACTGTAAGTGCATAATATATACCAGATTCAGGTGATTAAGCCCCATCCCACCCTGAATTGTGCCTCAGTCTCTACTGTTGTCATGACTCTTTATTATGGAATCCCAAGCATATCACATATAGTTTCACTTTGAATATTAAGAGACAACAACGGTAATAAATTATTATTATTATTATTGTTATTAAGCTATGGTTGTTCAGTTACAACTGGTAATTGCATACATAAGTTGAGGACTTTTGCTAGTGATTTGTTTCCTTTTCATGCTGTACTTGGCCCATGTGTCTTGCAGGGCTTGGAAAATTGCCCTTCAGGATGCCAGAACAAATGAGGTGAGTTTTTTTTTTTTTGTTATCTATGGTGAGAGATGTAACTATTTATTTGTTATGAATGATTTTATCCCACTTCAATAATTTGATTCTAGGTGGTTTACAAGCTTTACTGTCACCAATATTTTAATGTTAGTTTTTAACTAATAATTTATTGATTTCTTTCCCAATATGTATATCCTGCCTCAATTCTCATGGCCTTTGGTTGGGTAACTAGAGGATAAAACATACAGTACAAACACAAAAACAACAAAAAGGTTAAACGTAACAAATGGCCAAGAAACAACTAAGGGGCAAAAGCACTCTTGAACAAGATAATTTTCATGTGTTTGCGAAATGCAATCAGGGTTAGGGCCATCTGCATTTCCAGGGGGAGAGTATTTCAGAGAGTGTGGGGAGCAGTATTGAGAAAACCTGTTACCTGGTTCTCATTCCAACTGAGCCTCATAAGGAGGGGGAACTCTCAACAGGCTCTGTCTAGATGTCTGAACAGACAGGCAGATCTTATTCTGACAAGACTTTGCTAGAGATATCCGGGTACTGCACTGAGGGTTCTTTCAACAGTAACCTAGTTGCTGCATTTTGAATCACTTGTAGTTTCTGGGTCATCTCCAGTGGCGACCCACCTGTAAAGTCTTTTGGTAGTCCAGCCAAGGCATGAGTTACTGACACCAGGGCATCTTGGCCCAGGTAGGGTCATAACTGGCACACCGACCCATGCTGGGCAAAGGCCCCCATGGCTGTGCTTCCACTGGGTTGTTTTAGCAGGAACTGAGAGTCCAGTAGGATCCCTAAGTCATAGATCCCCCTCCTTCAGGAGGAGCACAACCCCATCAAGAGTAACTTTTAGGACCAATGGCATTGGATTGCTCTGCTGTTTATTGCTGAACAATAACTCTGTTAGTTAGCTCACTTTTCCATTTGGTCTTGGGATAGAATTTGCAGAGCAGGTTAGCTGTATGAAAGAAATCTTTCAGAAGTAACACACTGGGCAATACCTGAGCAAAGCTGGATGACAATGTGTGTTGTGTCTTTGAAGAAACACCAGACTATTGGCAAATTGCTAGGATTAATACCACATTTGACATAGTCCATTATTGTACAATTGAGTAGCCTGGGTTGAAGAAAAACCCCAGATAATCATGCCACTTAGCACTTTTTATTACGTTTGTTGCAGATTGTGATTAAAAGAGATTATTTAAATGCAAAAAGGAGGGGAATCTGCAACCCAAGTCCCCAGGACCTGTATAGTAGAACATTATTTCAGTTTCAGAGATGAAAGAAGAAAGTCAACATTCCATATATGGTCAAGTATTTACTATCCCAAAGTTAGATTGTAGGGGATTTTTTTTAAAGAGTATTTGTCAGTTTCTTTAAAAAAAATCTTTTTTTGAATAAGTAGTGAGGCTTGGAACATACTTTCCATGCTTGTTGTGTTCCCTGCTCATGAACCTAAAGTAAACCTTGGGAAATGTTCAAGGCAGTGGAGGCAGACTTAAACTCATGAACACTCTGCTTCTACCAGTTCAAGCAGCCTTATGGGCCTGGTCTGCTCTCAAGGTGTGATACAGGTCCTGTCACCATGCTGGATGAGGTGGTGGGACCTGTAATCCAACACATGTGAAAGGAGCACCAGGATTATGCAAGGAGACTTCAGAGTCAGCTGAGTGAAAGGTTTGTACAAAAACAGCTTGTTTTTGTAAAAAGCTACAACCTGTTTGCAGAAGTGAAAAAAGGGAAAGAAATAGCCCCAAGAGGAACAACATAGCAGGAGCCTTTTCTTTATGAAGAGTGGGTTATGTAATACTTAAAAAAAAAGATTCAGTCACTATCTGTACAAAGGCAACAAAGTCAAGTTTTTGAATAACAGATCACTTTTTGAAGCTGGTGGGGCTCCTGGTTGGGATTGTTACTCTCATTCTCATGGCACTGATCTGAATTGCACAGAATGGACTCTTAAAAATAGTTTCCTGTGCCGTGCCATTCATTGTGGCATTTCTACTATTGCTGAAAGAATTGAGTAAAGACACTTAGAGTGTTGAGGTTCTTTTTTTCTTTTTTGTAAGAAGTCTGTTGTGAGATCTTAGGGATTAATTTTCCTACCACAACTACTGGCAAGCCTGATCTATGTTACATTACAGTGGCACCTCCTTTCCTATTCCTCTGGGAATGTTATTCTGCATATGTGCTGTTTCCATTTCTCATCTTGCTGGTATTAAATAGAAGGCAAAACTGAGAAGCTAAACTTGTACAGTATGTATAATAGGTATTAAATTATCCAGCTGTTGATCAGAAAGACTGTTTTGTAACAAAAACAAAAAACCTATATTTTATATGTGCAAAAGATTCTAGTTTCTTTGAGTTTCTTAGGTTTGGTCTGCTTAGTTGCATTTGTCATTTAATAACATGACCAACTTTTGCTGTATTTTTGTATTGATGTGTCCAGGCTTATGTTGCTTCGGAAGTGATGTATGATGACAATGCAATTTCTTCAGCACCTCCTCCATACACAGCTTATGCAACACCATCACCTGAGGTACGTAGCATAATCGGTTGTAAAGAAAGTAAGAGCAGATGACTTAAAACAGTGACAATTGACATGTTTCATGTCATCATGCATTAAACTTGCTGACAGGGTCTCTGACTTGAAGCAGAACTGTTAGGAAATACGGTTTAATTTTTCATACAGGTGCATTATGCCAACCATTCCTAATTAAACCATAGCCTGTAGCATCCTAGTCTTGGATCCCCACCTTGACATTTGTGGGCACCAGTGGGTGCAAATCACATTTCCCTTCCCTGTCCATCTGCTTATTTCGACTGAAAGCAAATAAATGGAAAGTTAAGATGCTGCTAAGTACTTAGCTTAAGTATACCCTTTGTTTCTGAGGATTACTTTGGTCCCCATTAGATCCTAAAAGCATTCTTACTAAACTAAATGGTGGGCTTTGGGTGTGCTTGCCAGTTCTGGGGGGGGGGGGAAGGCAAAGATCAGCTAATGACAGAGAGAGCATCCTGAGAGGGTGAAAGTGGTGCTGGGGAACAGCCTAATCTGTTTGACCTTCTGGTAAATAAGTGTTTTGTAATTGGCCACATTTACTTTTACCATTTATGAGAATGTTCATAACATGATTTCAAAATTGCAAATGTGCCCACTGTCCCCAAAAGGTGCAACATTTTATTTAGAAAAGGAATTCTTGGATGTGATTTCTCTCACAAATGCTCCTAACATGTTTATAATTTCCTCAGGTTTATGGTTACCCACAATACAATGGTGCATATCCAGGGACTCAGATCATCTATACTTCTAATGGACAGACATATGCTGTACCTTGCCAATATCCAAACCAAGGTACTTGCTCTGTTTATTTTTCTCTTGAGCTGATTCACAACTTAGAGTCATTTTTAATAAATTATATGCAGGCATTGTTTTTACTCTACAGCAGGGGCAAGCAATCCTTTTGCAACCAAAAGCTGCAAAACTTCTGCAGCACTACTTTTTAAAAAAATGTTGACCTTCAAGCACCATGGTAGTGAAGTCACCAGAAGATCTAGAGCTGACATTTCCACCACCCCCCACTTTATTTTTAATCAGAGAAGGCTAAGCAAAATAGTTGGATTAGGTCTACTGAGAAGCTTAATACTCTTATTTTAGGGTGGTTGTTTTTTAATGAGTAATTTGCCATTCAAATTTGAGCCATGTGATCTTGGTGGTACAACACAGACCAGGGAATCACATGTGGCCTAAAGGTTATCTGCCTTTGCCATATATTAAGGAATGGCGAAAAAGTATTTTATTTACCATATTTTATATCTAGTGTGTTTGCACTGAATCAGCAGGTTATTTTGGAAGCAGTTCTATACATATCTGGAAGTAAATGCTACTGAACTCAGTGGGACTCATTTATGAGAAGATTACTTACAGGATTACACTATTGAGTATATCCTGTTTGCATCCACTCACATCAGGAATGTACTTTTATTTAATTGCTTAGTCAGTAATAGTCCTAAAATAAATTACAGTTTTGTAAGTAATGGGAGAGTTGATGCCATGTGACAGACACATTCGGTGCTTGAGTATTCTTTAGAGTTGCTGTGGATACGCAAAAGAATCTGAGCACCAATTCTTACCCCATTGGTGCTTTACCAATTCTTGGCTTACTTCTAGAAATTGATAATTACGATGAGACAAAGTTATGTGATAAATGATCATGTATGAGAGCTAATTATATCATGCTGTAGTTGCTTTGTTCATTATGTAGTATTTGAGTACTGTATGACCAGCTTATCTTCCAGTTCTTCAGCCTGAGTTCTTTGTTTCCTCACAATGACTTCATTCAAACAAGACCTCCTGCTCTTCCAAAGCATTTTGGAGGATCAGGAATGAGTTAAAAGAGTGCAGTATCTGAATACAAATGCAGTCTTAATCAACTGTTCTTACTGGTGTTCCTTCATTTGCCCCTTGTTTTGTGTGTATGTGAATGATAGGTATGTTCTCTAGAGCTATTTGCTATTAAATTCAAGTTTTTCTAGTTCACATTCACTGCAAAACTTCCTTTATTACTTCATAATAAGGTATAACCCAGAATGTGTTGGGTGCCCAGTTTTATGGAGATCTAACATTCATTGTGCTAGAACAATACAAAAATAAACAGAAAAGAAGTGATTTCAACTTTAGTTCATTGATATTCTCTTTTATTCCCTCCAGGACCCTATGGCCAGCTTCCTGCAAACCATGTCATCATTCGAGAACGTTACCGAGATAATGATGGAGACCTGGCATTGGGCATGTTGGCTGGGGCAGCAACAGGAATGGCCCTGGGCTCATTGTTTTGGGTATTTTAGGTTTCCTTTGGAGCTTCAACATGAGGGAGGTTCTTACTATCTTCTGTGTATAATAATATATATATTGGCAAAGTACTTCAGTTTAGTCTATAGGTGTTTCATAAGTTCTAACAATGTTTTTGCTAGTGATACACTGGAATTAATCACATTCTTAATCATCCAAAAGTTCACTTTAGTTAAAAAAGGCCAGGTAAGTTTGAGCCTATGTAGTGATAAACAAGTAGCAGTTATAACAAGTGAAGTATTACTAATGGTGGCTAAAGAGCCACAGCTGACTTCATTTTAGAGTGAAATATTAACAGTTCTGTTAAAATTACTTTAACTGCTGCCTCAGAAGGAAGCTCAAGTATCTTTTTTAAACACTCCTCGAAGACAAAAGATAATGACTTAGTATACACTTTGAGATCCGAGAGAGAGAGAGAATGAGTGAGTGTATTCAGGTTGATCTTGCGTTTTAGCAGCAGGTAAATACTTACCATAAAAGCAGATAGCACTATATAAATCCTCCTGGATCATTAAGCCATAAACACTCTGACATTTTGTTTGTCCTGAAAATATTCATATTCGTACTTGAAAGGTAGAAAGGAGTTTGATGACCACGCAAATAATGCCAGTGTCATGGAAGTTTCTATTTCACTTAGTTGGAAGATGCAAAAGACTAGATGTCATCCTCTGGATGTGTTGTGTTGAATTATTAGCACTCTTAGCCAAGTTGAGGTTATGCTGCCTAGATTTCTGGGAGTTGCCATCCCATCACATCAGGGAGATGCCAAGATAGGGAATAGTAAGTATTAATGTCCTGGACTTGAGAATTTTAGCTATGCCAGAAGAAATCGAGTAGTAAAATAATTCAACCTGGGTGTAAAAACTGTTTGTGTCTTAATAAATAGTAGGAGATGTTATGGTCATACTGGGCATTTAAAGCTTTTTCAGATTGTTCTAAATATAGGAGAATAATTATAAATAGAGAATGGAGGCTTACAAAAATTTATTCATTTCTTTTCATTGAAAATTATTTTTATCAATTATTTACTCTTCTGGTACATTATAAAGAGGCTTATCCTTGGTGATTAAGGCTGTTGTACTTCCAAGAGCTTCTGATGAGTTTCATTTTCTACTTTTAGCTCACATACAATATTAGCAGTAAGAACCTGATATTTTTATAGATAAGCAGAGCATGCATGTCCTGTTGAAATCTTAAGATGTGCATAAAACTCTTTCAGTTGTCTTATTGTCTGTTGTTTTGTTTTGCAAAGTTGAAACGTTCACAGAAGCAGACTTGGATCATGCCAGGTACCATAAAGGCAAATGTTAATGCAGTGTGTGATGTCCCTGTTGAGATGGGATAATTAATTCAAAGCCAGGTGATGACACAGGAAGTCTTAATACTGGTTCTGTAAGCTTTGCATTAAGCATATGCTGATACTTTCTGCCTGTTGAAGTTTAATGAGAGACATGGGTGTTATCCATCATTGTTGAACTTGGAAATTTTCTTTTAAAGAAATAATCTCTCTGCTGAGATGATAATAAATAAACATAAATAAATAAATAAAAATGATAATAAACAGTTTATTCACTGTTCCCATGAATAGATCCAGTCTAGGACATTTCAAGTGATCACACTGTGAATTGAAGATAATAAATGTTTCATAAAACTGATATGTATTTAAATAATATATAAGTTACATTGGAATATATAAGTTACATTGGAAGCCTTTAAGATATAAGAAGCTGATTATATAGTAAAAATTAATACTAGCTTTTGCTGTTTTTCTGTAACTTGTCAAGTGCAACTTTTATGTCCTTCATAGATTTTCCTGAATCCCCCCATTTCTATGTATTTGTACTTTGAAAAAAATAAATTTAGTCTTTGAACTGCTGGCAAGTTGAAATTGTATGTATCCCTGGAATTTCTTGATAATCAGCCTAGTTAGGCGTCAAAGATGATCGCAATATGTGTTGAAACTATAAAATCACTCTTTTATTGGAACATTTGTACCCTATTATGCAGAATTCTTTGAATATTAACACAAAATATATATATAAAAAACTTGCTAACTGGATTTTAAAATGCACTGGGTAAATCAGGTGATCACTAGCTTACCACCTGGCCAGTTGAATTACTGTTGAATTTTAGTTTGCTGCAAAATCAAAGAAAACAATCCAATGTGTCATCTATAAAACTCCTGTGGCAGGTCAGACAGTTTGTGTGTGTGGAAGGTGGGGATTTAGAATGAAAGAAGTACCATGTCCTAAATACTACACAGCTTAGGGCTATCCAGTGCTGAAAGGGTGTGTGTGTGTATGTGCAACATTATGGGAGTGGGAAGGGGGGATTCTTCCCCTGCTTTGCCTTTGTTTTTTTTCATCAGTGGTGGGATTATTATGAAATAGGCCTATTTACATATGTTTAAAAAGAACACACATATGAAGGATTTGTTTTGATTCTGAATGCTGGCTGCTATGAAAAACCTGGATACTGAAAAACAAGAAAGTCCATTTAAGTGAAGTGGTGGACTGAATGTCTGAGTACACAGTAATTGAAAAACAGAACCCCAAACTATATCATGGGAATAGGTTTTGAAACAGTTATTGGGGGAGAGAAGAGTTTCTATGCATGGAAAATGCTTATGGACTCATTAGAAGAAAAGGAGTAAGGGGTAGGCACAGTTACCCCTTTTTAGGATTTTGTCCTTACCTGCTTCTTTTGAGTATGGGGGGAAATCTGATGAGTTGCTTCCAGAGCAAGAAAAGAAAACAGAGGGAAAAGGGAGATTGCTTTCTTAAGAAATGCAAGATCCTTTCAGAATAGACATTTTTCTAGAGACCAGAAAGTTGTGGTGCTCTTTTTATCTCAACTCTCAGGGTTCAACAATTATTTAAAAGCAAAAAGCTTACATTTTCACTTCAAAATGTGTGGGTAGGTGGAATCTGTTTTAGCATACAACTGGAGTGTCCATTTTGGCTAGAACCTTAGAGGCAGATTTCAGGTTTCATTCAATATAAGAGGAATATAAACTGTTGGTAATTGTCTCCAACTCTAACTTAAATAAAAGGTCTCCTAAAGAGCAAAATGTGATAGTGAGCTATTGGAAAAAATTGTTCTATTTTTTTTTTTATAAGTCTTACTCAATTTCATGGAAAATAAACTACTTTCAAAATAAAATACAGAGCAGAAAAAGATGCTGTGGAAATTGTTGTGTGTTCAGTCTGGGCTTCTTTCACTTAATTGTAAGTCTGATATAATTATAAGAGTGATATAATTATATCACTCATGCCCTGGTCATCTTACTACTGGATTGTTGCAATGCACTCTATATGGGGCTGCCCTTGAAGACCACCCAGCTGGTTCAAAATGCAGCAGTGCGAGCAGTAACAGGTGCCTCTCAGTATGCCCATGTGTCTACATTGTTATAGGAGCAACATGTGCTACATTGGTTGCCAGTTGGCTTCTGAGTGCAATTAAGGTGCTGGCTATTACCTATAAAGCCCCGTATGGCATAGGGCCTGGATATCTGAGAGACTGCTCGTCTCCAATCGTCTCTGCCCACCCAGTATGTTCCAGCAAAGTGGGTGCACTCCAGGCCCCCTCCATTAAACATCGCCATCTTGTGAGACCTAGGAAGCATGCTTCTCTGTTGTGGCCCCCACCCTCTGGAACAGCATCCCCCCAGAGATAAGGGTAGTGCCCTCTCTTCTGAGGTTCCGGAAAGCTTTGAAAACCTGGCTTTGGTCCCAGGCCTGGGGTTGATGTTTGTTATTGGTTCAATGGCCCCTGTTTCGTTTTGTTGATTTTGTTGTTTATTAGATTGTTTTAGTCTGGGCTGTCTGTTTGGTTTAACGCTGTTAGCTGTTTTTATGTTTTTTTCTAGTTTTGTATGCCACCCAGAGTCCCCTGGAGTTGGGCAGCCCATCCATCCATCCATCCATCCATCCATCCATCCATCCATCCATCCATCCATCCATCC